TTTTGTTTATTTAGCGTTAAATCACAACAGCAGTTTCCTCAAAGCGCTTTATATTTTAAGGTAAAGACCCTACAATAATACAGAGAAAACCCCCAACAATATTATAACCTCCTATGAGCAAGTGCTTTGGCAATAGCGGGAAGGAAAAACTCCCTTTTAACAGGAAGAAACCTCCAGCAGAACCAGGCTGAGGGAGGAGCGCCCATCTGCTACCACCAGTTGGGGGTGAGGGGAGGAACACAGGACAAAGACATGCTCTGGAAAGGGGGACAGAGATTAACATTAACTAATGATTAAAGGCAGAGAGGTTAACACATGTTAACAAACCAAAAATGTGAGTGAGAAGGGTAACTGAAGACGTAAAACTCAATGCATCATGGGGATCCCCCAGCAGCCTAGACCTACTGCAGTGTAACTGAGAGGAGCCCTAACTATATGCTAAAGTTATAAGTATAATCTTAAAAGTAGAGAGAGTGTCTGTCTCTGGAAGCTGGTTTGACAGATGAGGGGCGTTCTGCTTTTAGATACTGTAGGAGCCACAAGTAAACCATCAGTCTGAGAGCAAAGTGCTTTAATGGGGTGATGCGGTACTATAAGTTCATTAAGATAGGATCGGTTGATTATTCAAGACCTTGTATGTGAGGAGCAGGATTTTAAATTGGATTCTTTAAATTTGATTTAACAGGGAGCCAACGAAGAGAAGCCAGTATAGGAGGAATATAAGAAATCAGATGGCAGCCACTCAATCATATGATTGGCAGTACAGTCTAAACGTAGACATGGTTGTGACTGGATGCTGAAGTTCAAACTGAGCAGAATGAGGAAGAAAGGTCATTTTAAGTGACTTTGAACATGGCATGCTTGTTACTGCCAGACAGGCTCGTCTGAGTATTTCAGAAACTGCTGATCTGAGATTTTCCCCCACAGCTATCTCTGGGGTTGACAGACTGGTTAGAGAAGAGAAAATGTCCAGTAAGCAGTAGATTTCTGACTGAAAATACTTTGTTGAGGTCAGAGAAGAATGTCCAGACTGCTTTGAGCTGGTAGGAAGGCAAATACACATGTTAAACAACCACCAAGTTATGGAAAAGGGCACCTCTGAAGGCACAACACAGCAAACTATACTCGTACTCAATTGACCTCCACAGTGACCAGGGCACTTTTGGGATTTGGTGTAACGGGAGATTCACAAGTGCAACAAACAGTGACTGCTGTCATTTCAATATGGACCAAAATCTCTGAAGAATGTTTCTAGCGTCTTCTTGAATCTACGCCACGAAGAATTAAAGCAGTCCTGAAGTCAAATGGGTGCCCAACCCGTACTCGTGGCTGTTGTCTGATCTTGTGGGGAAATTCTTATCTATCTTAAAAACATCCCTCCACAGTGTAGTTACTAAAAAATTTATATGTGAATCAGCATCACTCAGAAGTCTATACAGGGCTCAGAGAAAGCAGAATTAAACATGTATCTTAGTGACAATTGAGCTACATGTGATTAACTCTGCAAATGAAAATAGCTCCAGAAAAACTCAGCCATGTGGTCCAAAAATCCTTGAAGAAATTAATATGATCAGCGTATGTTAGTGTAATTTTTCAACACAGAATGAAAACCAAACCTCTTAAGCTGTTAAGATACTCCCATAGGACCTACCTACACTTTTGCTCGCTTGACCAGGCGGGGTGGTTTGAGAGTGTGTGTTAACTGGCTGCCCTAGTCAAAGCTGAAGAGACAGTGGTTTTAGCGATTTGCTGAAGCCTAAGTACAAGGTGGTTTGAAGAGTGGTTTTTAAGAGCTAAACGATACCAGCTCTAAAGTTCATCTCCACTTAATGTGGCTTTTGACAATAAGGTACTCTTCCCACATCCTGTAGTACTGATCACATATCCTTAGAATAGCCTTGGATATTTGTTATCATTTGATATTTGTTATCATCATGTGAAACTCGAGGTGTTGCAAAGTGGCTCTGTGAAGCTGCAACTAGGCAGAGCTTTCAGTGTTATTGTTTTAATTTGGTTTCCTTTGATTAATTTTTTTTGAATGCACCCTTTCCAGCTCTCTTAATAAGTAAACAGAATATGAATTAAAAAGCTGAGGTTTGTTCCTTTTGTCTTGTGTGATTGTCCTTTTATACTCCTTTACTCTCTGTTATGTCACTGTGATTTCAGTTGTTCTTCTGTCTGTTAACAGTCTTTGAGTTTTTAGAAGGAATGCATCCATAGTTTGGCATTTGAGTCATACCTTACAATTTTAGTAATTTTTAGCCAATTATGCTACACGTGTCAATTCAAATCACACTGCACATGTGGCACATGCGTCCTAACTGGATGCACTGATATATGTGAGGATTAACTGAGTTGTTATTTTCAGGTGCTTCCCTTAAAGTTTTTGTGGTTTCCTCCTGCACCTTAACCATGAATCAAAGCACCAAAGTATTAGAAGAACTTTTTAGAGTGAAAGAAGTAAGGTATTGAGTCTATGATGACCTGCACTGCATCATAATCCTATTGAGCTATTGTGGGAACAGCTTAAACTTATATTACATAAGAAGTGGCTTTTATACTAATTTCATTTGTGGGAGGATTTCAGGAAGCGTGGGCTGAAATTGATTCAGATTACTTGAACAAATTGACAGCTTGAAGTGATTCTTTGACTAGATTAAATTTAAAGGATGAACTAGTAGAATATTCCAATAATTTCTATTCACTTTGCAACACATTTGATGAATAGATGTTTAAGTTCGAATTTTAAACATGTACTTCATATTGCATGTGACTTCCTTGACCATGAATATGATTATATTCCAAGTCGGTAGAATAAATCCTCTGGAGAGCATGAATGTGTCTGCTAAGATTCATGGCAAAGAGTAACCTCGCTACAATGAGCTGCGTACGTTCTTCATGTGGTGTGTTTGGGTGCTGTGCAGGTGTCAGTGTGTTTAGTCATGTCCTAAATGTGGAGCCCAAAGAAAATCAGAGTGGAAAGTGTTTGCATACATCCCTTCCTGTGACATAATTATCTTTTCCGCTGCAGTTTCCCCTTTCACCAGTCTGCTCCCCATTCAATTACACTCTGACGAATAGGGTTTAGTGTTCAGTTTTCTGCTGATATAAACATGACATTTACATGAAAGCTTGTGATCTTGTTTGCATGTTCAGCGCATGCTTGTGTGTGTTTTTAGATGTATCTTACATTGTATTAGGTCACCATTAGCTGACCACAAACATAATGGATCCACTTAAGTAATTACATACTATCTACACACAGACACACACACACACAGAGCGCTGTCACTGCATTACATTATCTCTCTAATGTAAAAGGCACTAATGCTGCTGGTCCTTGTGAATGTATTGAAAACCGATCGTATCATATGTCGCACTTATTGCACACTTGTCAGTAATACCGCTCTTTGTAATTTGTTGCAGTGCTGTTATTGAGGCGTCATCTGTAAGTATGGAAGCACATTGCTTTTTTTCTATGTCACTGATGTGCAGAAAGGTGACAAAATTGCATATAATGGAGTCATATTGAACATTAAGATTTCCCCCAGTGGTTTCATTTTAAATGATGACATTTCCAGAAGTTTTTCACAGCCACTTATATGAAAGTACAAACAACTTTCTTCACTCAGGCTTTCTTGTTTAGTTAAAGAACGGAAGGTCCTTCCTCTCTATGTGGCTAAAAGCAAACATAGTCATCTCTTCTATTTAGAGCATTAGTTATATCACATTTAGAATAATAAGATGAACAATCAATAAACAATCAGCAGCACCACTTGTTCATCACAGACCATAAAGAAATGAGGACAAATTATAGTAACTCTGTCTCGTGTTAATGTGTTCTTCTTGTCTCGGTGCTTAGTGTTTGTCTTCAGGTTACTTCCTGTTTTTTACTTTGAAGGTTTGTTTCCTTTCATGTCTTGTGTTAGTTATCATGGTTTTCTTTTTAACTTTTTGTCACAGTATCTGTTTCGTTTCCAGCCCTGTGATAGTCTTTGCTATGGTTATTTTTTAGTTTGTGGACTGTATTTTGGACCATTCACTGTTCTGTCTGACCTTATATTTACTGTTTATTTCTACCATATCCATTGCAGCGCTCATTTTTCTAACATACCACATATCCCAGCTAGTATTAGGTAAGATGTACATCCCGGAGGGGTCAGTGGTCCATAACAGGGGTAAAGACATCTGTTCATACTGGCATCTACACCTCAGTCAGTACTAACTGTGGAAGGAAGAAACTTAACAACAGGAAATCAAAGAAACAGACACAGGGAGGACATGCAAAATCCAAACAGACAGGCCCCAGCCAACCAGGAGGTTATCTCTGCTGCAATATAACATCTGTTACTAAATAACAGATAAAATCTGCCTTCTGATGCTTTCTGTCTGGTTTATTCTAATGTCTGCAAAATTTTATTCTCATGAACTAAACCACTGAAGCATCCAATTTTATCATTTTTTCTTCATGCTGCTAATAAAATGGTTACTAAAAGTGAAATGGAAAGTGTGAGTGATAGATTCCTTCTGAGTCAGACACTAACACATGAAAGATGAAAATTATTACATTATTACTGAAAGCATGCTGTGAGCAAATCACAGTGGACATATGGGGTATCGATTACTGCCTCAGTCTAATTGTGCATTTGTCTGTGCATGGTTAGTGTGTTTGGGGATGGGGATTTGTGGAGAAGAAAGAGACAGAGGGAGGGACAGAGGAGACATTTTCCTCCCACTCGTTTGTGTCAAGAAAGGGGGAGGTCCAATTTGTGTCATAAACCAACAAAACTAAGCATGCAAGGAAGGCGATAAACACAGGCAGGACTGAGAGATGATACAAGCAGGGTGAAAATTAGGATCTTATTTCTTTATTTGAACCAGAAGGGAGAGCTGTATTGTGAAAGATTTACCATCAAGTTTCCAAGAAGGCACCTGTTGGGGAGAAGAGTTGCACTTTTCTCTCAGAGTCATTGCTACCTGGGTCACAGTGACGAGCAGCAATGGGCTTCGTTTTGTGGGGGTTCTTGACTGATTTCTTCACCTACGAGACCACCAAATCCGTGGTGGTAAAGAGCTGGTCTGTGGGTATCATCAACCGTATTGTACAGCTGCTCATCATCACCTATTTTGTCGGGTCAGTGATCTGTAGTTTTCTTTTGAGTTTTTTTCAGAGTGTAATAATTTGTGTAATCATGGGTGTAAATTGAGTTTTCCTTAGCTAAATTACAAAATATTTCTTTCACTGATCCGTGTCATGCAGCTGGGTCTTCATCCATGAGAAAGCTTATCAGTCAAGCGACACCAACATTGAGTCCTCCGTGATGACCAAAGTCAAAGGCTTTGGTTATCTACAAAACCAAAACCAAAATGAGAACTATCAGAATCGTGTGATGGACGTGGCTGATTACGTGTCGCCCCCTCAGGTGAGTGACGTGATGATAACATGACATATTTAAACTTTGTAGTTTTCTATGAGTTATTAACAATGTTGGCAGTTAAGATTCTGCAGTTGAAAGTGTTTTTAAAATAACTTTTATGATGAGGAAGCTTTCTGCCCAGTCTCATATGTGTAGTAATAAATAAACACAAAGCATATCATAAGCATTCAGTTGTTTTTTTAGGGTTCAGGCGTGTTCTGCATCATCACCAAACTCATCGTCACTGAAAATCAGTTCCAAGGACGATGTACAGAGGTGAGTACACATTCAAGCTCATGCTTTTGTCACGTTTTACTATTTTACCATTAATTTTCAGTCGATTTTAAGGCTTGCTGGTTTTATTGTAACCACCTATGTCTTCTTATTCCTAGGCAGCATAAAATACGTCAAAAATAGTGTATATTTTGAACAAGGAAACCAAATTGCAGATTTTTTGTCAACATATCAGGATCAATATTATTGCAAACTGATATTCCAGCAGATATCTGCCTGGCATTTATACTTACGGGGTGTTTTTGGTCTCCAGAGAATCAACAGGAAGTCTTCAGCTAATTCACTGAAAGCCCTACAGCAAAAACATGGTCATATATATCAGTAAAGATTTATGACTACATTAATTTTTTTCTGACAAATCTAATTAAAGTTTTAGTCTCTTTTGCACTGACATCAAATTACATTCTACTCCTACCTTTGAGTGGCGGTAGGATGCAGTAATGAGCTGAAGGGCAGAGGGCACACCTTGAGCCATTAACTCCTTCTCAATGTAGTGTTGGCAGTATGGTCCATCCATCCATTTTTCTTAGGCAGAGTATAACCTGGAGAAGTCATCAGTTTGTCACAGTAGTGTGTCAGTGCGCCCCAGGGCAGCCGTGGCTACAATGTAGCTTGCCATCACCAGTGTGTGAATGTGTGTGTGAATGGGTGAATGACTGAATGTAATGTGAAGCGCTTTGGTAGTAAAGCGCTATACAAATACAGGCCATTTACCATTTTGTAATGAGACGGTGCGTGTGACCAGGTAGGAGGGCCTTGCCTCCGGATGGCAGGCAGAGACTCGATTCTCAAGGCAATGCTAAAACTGTATATAGAATGGGAAGAATGGGAGTCTTTGAATCTATTCTGGAATTTGTTACATTTATTCGTTTGGTATGGAAACAGCTTCATGTCAGTATAAGATGAATGCAATTAGTAATATCACTGATTTGTATTCTTTAATGTTTCTAACGTAAACAGGCAGATCTGTAGGCTCTTAAACGCAGCCTGTTATCTGTCGGTGGCAGACAGGATGATTAAAAACTGACCTCACAGTGCATTAATAGCAGCTGGTAATACTGCAACATTTTTCAAGTTATATTTGGACTGATATATAGTGACCGTGGCTCAGGGGGTTGGGAAGCACATCTGTAACCGGAAGGTCGCCGGTTTGATCCCCAGGCTCTCTGTCTTGGTTGTTGTGTCCTTGGGCAATACCTACTGGTGTTGGCCAGAGGGGCCGATGGCGCGATATGGCAGCCTCGCTTCTGTCAGTCTGCCCCAGGGCAGCTGTGGCTGCAACCGTAGCTTGCCTGCACCAGTGAGTGAATGAATAGTGGCTATACAAATCCAATCTGTTATTATTATCTTAGAGCTGTGATTTTCAGTTTTATTTTTCAGTAGTAAAAGCACCAGAGCAGTCGTCCATGTGTTCCTGTTCATCCACTGTTACATTTCTATATGTTTCTTATTTTGTCTAGCATGCATTCACTTTCTGTGTTTATGTTGTTTTTTAGACTGGGAAGAGGTTCATATGTTCTTCCGATGAAGACTGCCAGAAGCATGTTGGCAGCAACCTTTCCAACGGTGAGTCAGATTTATTTAAAACAGAAACTTTCAACAGAAACAGAAACGTGCTGATGTCAAGTCTGTGGTGTTGTAACTTTGCTTATCTTTAAATATTCTTTAAATCAGATTTGTGGCATTGGCTGGTAAGTAAATACTAGATGAAAAAATAATCATGAAAAAATCTTTTAACCCAAAAATTGAATTAATAAAATAAGGCATGGTGCTAAAAACTGAGGAAATGAATTACGCTATTTAACAAAAAAAAAACAAAAAAACAGGGTTTCTTTGTTCTTTTAACCGGGACAAAAATATTTTTAAAGTAGAAGTGAAGTTTAAAAAGAATCATATATTTATTTTATCTACCTTTGAGACATAAGGCAGAATGTAGCACTTAATACCCAGGAACAAACCTTCTTAAAAATAATATCAATATAAATAATATCTTCAAAATAATGTGCAAAGATGTTTGTGATATTATTGTATCTTCAAATAATCTTTAATTGAATATAAGAATATATTTATAGTAGAATGAGTCAGCCTTTGTTAAACTTGTAGATTTATTGATGGAATCTTTATACCACCTGATATTGTTTAAATCCAATGTAGTAAATGGTGAAAATTGAAATGTGTTCCTATGTTTTGCAGGTTTAATATTATAATATTGAAACATATTGGTAACAGAAAGTCAGACAATGCTCATTGTTAAATATTTCAGTCTTTACAACCAGGTGCCATGTCCTTTAGCATATTTTAGAAGAATATCAACTGCACAGAGTATGAACCTAAATCAAAAAGCAGGGTAAATATTTATAGTTTTATATTGTTTACAAACAATTTGCAGTAAACGTTATCCAAAACTCTCTGGCCCTGTCTGACAAAGTAATTCACTCCTAAGCCTAATAAGTGGTTGTGGCAGCAAGTATTGCACTCAAGTGTTTGCAATAATTGGTAATGAGTCCTTGTCCTTGTGGACTGGAGGAATTTTGGCCCACTCTTATTTGCTGATTGAGGATGAATGGTCATCTCAAGTCCAGACTTAGGCCACAGTGACTAGGCCACTCCAAAACCTTCATTTTGTTTATTTTTTAAGCCATTCAGAGGACATCGGTGGACTTGCTGTTATTTTTTGGATCGTTGTCCTGTTGCATGACCCAAGTGAGCTTGAGCTTCACGGCATGGACTGATGGCTGGACATTCTTCTTCAGGATTTTCTTTCAGAGAGCCGAATTCATTACTCCATCAATTATGGCAAGTCTACCAAAGCAGCCCCAGACAATCACGCTACCACCACCGTGTTTGACTATTAGTATGATGAACTTTCTATTAAATTTTGTGTTTGTTTTGCACTAGATGTTAAAGTTTTGTCTCACAGAATATTTGATTAAAAGTCTCGAGGCTCATCGTGATGTTTCTCTGCAAATCTGAGATGAGCCTTTGTGATCGTCTGCTCACTGTTACTCTTCCATGGATGCCATTTTTGCCCAGTCTCTTTCTTATTGTTGAATCATGAACTCTGACCTTAAATGAGGCAAGTGAGACCTGCAGTTCTTTGGTTGATGTTCTTTGTGAGTCGTCGATGCGATTGGAGTAATTTCGGTCAACCGGCCATTTCCGGCAAAGGTTCACCGCTTGTCCAAATTTTCTCTGTCTGTGGATAAAGGCTCTTCCACGTCGAAAGCCTTAGAAATTGTTTTGTAGCCCTTTACAAACAGATGGTTGTCAAGTTTCTTCAGATCGTGGCATGTTGTTTGGCTTCTTGAAATGTTTTGACCTAGCCCACTTTGTCAGACAGGTTCTATCTAAGTAAATTCTTGATTCAGTAGGTCTGGTCAGTAATCAGGCCTGGATGTAATGAAACTTAACTCAGATTTCCAAAACATTAATAATTTAAGTGGGACAATTACTTTTTCACACATCATTTTTTTCCCTTAATAAATGAAATTATTATTTTCAATCTGCAATTTGTATGTGCTTGGGTTATCACTGTCTGACATAAAAATGTGTTTGATGATCTGAAATGTGTGTGGCAAATGTACAAAAACACTTGGGGTAAATACTACTTCACAGCACTGTATAACTGATCATTATTATGGCTAACAGTATCTCCATTCAGTTACCTGAGCACAATGTTTCCTTCCTCTTCTTTCTTACACACCAGGTGTAATAACAGGTGCTTGCCTTAAAAACTCCAATGAGTCCCATGGCATGTGTGAGATGGAAGGATGGTGTCCAGCTGAAAATGATGCCATCAAAATGTAAGAGTGCACGCACATCCCACACAAATACATTTCACTCACTGAAAGTGTCATCTTTGTCCCCTTGTCTCTGTGTTTATCTCCCACAGTGAACCAATGGATGTGAACACCTTCACTATTTTCATCAAAAACAGTATTCGTTTCCCTCTTTTTAATGTCACCAGGTAAACCCCACAAACCTTAACCGAAGCAGCTAAAAAACATCAATATATTATGAGTGTCTTTTTAAAAAAACATTAAATCATTTTCCTTACTCAGAGGGAACTTTCCACCCACAATGACAGCCGATGAAATCAAGAAATGTAAATACCATCCAGAGGACAACCCCCTTTGCCCCATCTTTCGTGTGGGGGATGTGCTGAACTACACCGGTCAGAATATAACCGAACTGTTAAGCAAGGTAAGCATGAGTGTACAAGGTCGTATGAAGGTCTTGTCACTGTTAGGGTGTTTCAAGTTACAGACAGCGGTCTTGTCCTTCCTATGCAAAGCTTCTGAAGTGCCTCAATCATCATTAAGTGCACAAGATAACACTTAGCTCAAAAAGCCAGATATTTTTGGAAGTATTTCACATTAATTCTCTCTGACCTAAAGTCAATCCAATTCCATACACTTCAATACCAGCCTTAGCTTTGACACATATTTACGTCAAAGCCAAAGCTGGTATTACATATTTAAGTGCTGAACCTCAAGGTGTGTCTCTCTTTTCCCAATCCTTCTGTCTCAGGGTGGAGAAATAGGAATAAACATTCAGTGGGAATGTAACCTGGACTTAAACATTGAAAAATGTATTCCCGAGTACTCCTTCACACGACTCGATGCTCCATTTGCCAAGAATGCTGTGTCCAAAGGATACAACTTCAGGTAGTGATAATGATTCTTCCTCTTCAAGTTTACTTCTTTTTTTAAAAATCAGTCTTTAGTTACTCTTTTCTCTTCTTTGAATACAGATATGCAAAATATTTCAAAACAGAGAATGGGACTGAATTTCGGACTCTTCATAAAGCTTTTGCGATCCGTTTTGATGTCATGGTCACTGGCAAAGTGAGTTGTCTTCAAACTTAATATTAGACAAAGTGTGATAACAACTGGCTAAAACAAAGAATTTCCATGTGTCATTTTATGTAATTTATTTTCAGAAAATGTGACATTTATTAATTAAAAAAACACTGAAACATGACAAAATCAAGAAACTTTGCAGAAGTCTCAATTTAACATGAACTAAAATCATTTTGTTGAGCTGAGCATTGTGGGAAACCTACTACCACCACGTTAGCTTATTGTAGCACAGAGCTAGCTTAGCTTAGACTCTAGACTTAGCCTATTGCATAGGCTGTTTTTCTAAACACAGCACAAACGATTTGAAGCTTCCAAATTTCCAGTAATTGCATAAGCAAATAAACTCACCAACAACTTTATCGGGTACATGCTTTTAACACCAGGCTCAACACCCTTTTCGTTTTCATGGCATAGGAGATTTTGGTCCCTGTTGGTATGAGCATCGCACAGTTGCTGCAGATTTCCATGATACAAATCTCCAATTCCACAACATCCTAAAGGTGCTGCGCTGAATTAAGATTTGTTGACTTTGAAGGCCGTTTGCGTACAGTGAGCTCAGTGTCATGTTCCAAAAACCAGTTTGAGATGATCTGAGCTTCATGACACAGAGTGTTTTCCTCCTGGAAGCAGTCATTAGACGATGGGTACATTGTGGTTATAAAGGGATGAAAATGGTCAGCAACAATATTCTGGTAGGCTGTGGCACAAACAATGCCCAGTTGGTACTAAAGGCGTGTGCCAAGAAAATATCTTTGCTACCATTACACCACCATCCATGCTTTCATGTTGTTTATACCAAATTCTGACACTACCTTTCAAATGTTAGGGCAGGTATCAAGATTCAAGAACAAACCAGGCGATGTTTTTCCAAGTTTCTATTGTCCAATTTTGGTGAGCCTGTGTGGGTTATAGCCTTGATTTCCCGTTCTTAGTTGGCATGAGTGACACCTAGTGTGGTCTTCTACTGCTGTAGGGTCAATGTGTTGCCCTACACATTGTTGCACAGTGAGTGAATGTTATCTATATTCCTTTGAAAATAGCTCAGCTGATGTTTCCAAGAATTCAGTCTTCAGACTAAACTGCTGGCACAGAGCGCGATCAGTCCTCTCTCACCAGAGCAGAAAATAAGCATACTAGCCAAGTGTAAAAATATGACTTTTAAATCCCGGACTGTAAATGTTTAGAAAATAAATCACCATCTTTAAATATACATTTCAGTTATAATAGTGTAGAAAATCATTAAGGAATAGTACTTTATTTTAAAATTAAACATTATGGAGAGAGCCTGTGTGTATGAAACTGCATTACATGCCATCTAAAGTGACTCCATCTATTTCAGGCAGGAAAGTTTAACACAATCCCAACTATGATCAACTTGGTAGCTGCCTTTACCTCGATTGGACTGGTATGAAATTCTTATCAACCTAATCTATTGTTCTCATGTTGCTCTCGGCTCTCATTGATCTTTTGTATCTGTCGTGGCAGGGCGCGGTTCTCTGTGACATCATCTTACTAAACTTCTTGAAAGGGGCAGAGCAGTACAAAGCCAAAAAGTTTGAAGAGGTATTGCTTTTCATGGCACAGCAACATGTTTGTCCAAAAACCTATCAGAACCTTATCACAGATTTTCCTTCTTGCTTTGTCCGTGCAGGTGTCAGAGGCTCAGATAGAAGCTTCCATAGCTCAGAGTCCAGGGAGCCAGCTGTCACTCAAATGCATGAAGAGCTCCTGTGACTCTGGAGCACTTTCTCTCAACACCTATGACCAACCTCTCTAACCGACAGCAGCAATGTGAAGACATGGGCTCCCCTTCCTCTTTTCCTTTCCACCTTATTATAAGAGGTATTCAGCTTTAGATCGGCAAGTATATGGAACAGGGTAAAGGAGGACGATGTTGTTGCCATCTCCATAAGAAGTAAGGGCTTGTAGCTCACAACAATAACTGTCAAACTAGAGCCTCTTTGTAATAGTAATAAAATCCATTTTTATTCCAAACATTTTGATTTAGCAACATGTTAACTATGATAATCGTCAAACTCATGTTTGTCAGCTGAAAGGTGGAGCCGATTAAATCCTCCTGACTCAAGCCAAATAGGAAAAAATATGTCTAATACTGAAACACTGTTGAGAATAAATTATTTGAATAAGACTTTGGAGTATTTTTCTTTGTTGTCATGTACGCACAAACACAGTCTGTTCTTTTGTCTGAAGTAAAAGTGTCCAAGTCTCTAAGTGGTGTAGAGACACAGCAAATCCTGGTGTGTGTGTGTGTGTGTGTGTGTGTGTGTGTGTGTGTGTGTGTGTGTGATCTTAAGGTTTACAAATGGTCCACTATTAGTCCACATCTGGTGGATATTGCATACTCATGCAACAGTTACTGTGCAGATTAATGGACTATTATAGTGATTCTTATTCTCTCAATTTTTAGTCATTTTTTTGTTTATGCAATTGAAAAAAAGATTATTCTTCTGCTTTTCTGACAGATTTTCATCTCAGACAGTCCCTCTACTTCTCTCCGTCACATATTTTCATTTTCCCGTCATCCGTCTGTGCCCACCCACTCTTCACTACCAGGACACTAATAGATCGGCTAAAGAGCTTCTTAATGGTGCTGACAGTGATTTATGAGAAAGGATATCTGTCAGGGGAGGCCACAGAGGAAACAACAGCAGTTAGTGTGAAGCTTTGATGTACTAAAATGATAACACAAGTTAGTATAATGCATGTAATGGAAATCATAGAATATGATACAATACACCACGAAGCACTCTGTACATGAAAAATACACAAAATGATTCAGTGTATCCCATAATTTTAAGGACCTTCTCTCTCACACATCCATGGCCTTTTTAGAATTACCAAGTAGCCTAACATGCCAGGTCTTTGTACTGTGGGAGGAAGTTGGAGCAGAAACACAAGGGACACGGAGAACATCCAAACTCCACAGAAAGGCCCCTGCCCACTGCACCAACCTGCCACCTGTTGAATATAATTATTAGCATTGAATAATGTGAGTGGGATGAGATGAGATTTGGTGGGAGGTGTTTATTTGCTAGTCAACTATAGAGAAAATGTGGGTGTTATCTCAACTTTTCCAGCATAGATGCACAAGCATGAGGTGTTTGTGCAGATTTGCTTTGTTGATTTTTCTCTAAACTTCAGTCTTGTTTCTTCAGATGCAAACCTAAACTGTGCTGCCATGTTCTTTTATAGAGGAGACACTTTCTCTTGGCAACCTTTCCAAACTTGTTCAGTCTTTTTCTAATTGGAGTATCATGAACTTTAGCATTTAATATGTTACATGCTAACTGAGGGCTATAGAGTCTGAGATGTAGCTCACCGCTTTTTGTAGTGTCTCTGAGCACAGTTTGCACAGTTTGACCCAAGGTGAATTTTCTGGGATGTGCCCTCCCACAGATTGGCAGGTGACTTTCCACTCGTGAATAGTCTTTCTCACTATGCAACAATATACAATGGGCCTGATGAAGCTTCCTAAATTGATGGAAAGCAACAACTGACTCTCTACGGTCATTGTTGATGTGTGTCATCCTTAGCATCATGTTAGTACTCACCTTAAGGCTCCAGACCAGCAACGTGCCAGAACCTCTCCTCTTAAATAAAAAATGACACAGTATATGTCATCTATGTTCTTCATTTCAGCTTGTATTTATCTAATTTTAGAACCTACTGTGGACCAGATGATTTACCATTATGCCCGGATACATAAAACCCTAAAATTGAAAAATGCACTTTCTTTTTCACATGACTGTAAAAATTTATTTTATTTGTTTATTCTGTAAAAAAAAAAGAAAAAAAAAAGGCAGAAATAACAAAGTTCTCGTCTAACCCTACCAAAGAAGACAGATAGCTAAAGCTCTGACGCTTTATTTTTTGTCTCAATACTGCACAGCCTCTCATGTTGCTACATCTAAAAAGAAATAAAACGGCCTCAGCTGTTAAAAAAATTCACAGAGGTTCATGTGAGATGATGATTCACTCTGTATACACAGTATATAAAAGATAAAAGCAGTTTCTGGCTATGAAAACGAACTGTTTAAATACCAACCTGGTTTATGGTCACAGCTGCTAGTTTTAAGTCTTATTCAAGACAGAATGATGTTCATTTCATAAACAGTGATCACATGTAGAAAAAGCGGGGTTCGCTTTATGGAGGAGCTACCTTTTGATTGACAGTATGGCACACTCATACTACCATATGAGTGTGCAGTGTCCTTGGTTCCTCGGTCAGCTCCAGCCCTGGCTCAGGGTTTAAATAGGACGGGACTGTGCTGTTTAAATAAGGCTTAAAAACTAGTGGCTACATTCATCTTTTATACAAAGTCGATGCTTTCTCACTAGAATAAGTGAACTCAGTGCTCAGGTGCTTGTCTCCATCTCTCCAAATTTAAATGGTGGTATTGAATAGAGAGGAGCAGCTGATCAGAAACCACTGACCACTCCAGCTCACACATTCTTCCTCCTTTGGGGTTATTCTCTATGATGGCTGGACTGGGAGCCATTACCCTGAGACAGGATATGGACTGTGGGGTGGGGTGGTGAGTACAGTAAGTGAGTGACGCAGATAGCAGACTGCTGTCATGTGTAAGACTGAAGGAGCACAAGGAGGAACATCTGAATCAACAAAATGCTTTCAGCACATTCAGCTGTTGGGTTACTGCAGCATAGTCCTCAGTTTGGATCACTAGTGCAACTGGAAAAGTCTTTAACCTCTGCTCAAACTTTGCTTAATAAAGCAGGAACAATAAGAAAAAGAAAGACAAAAATATCCACTTATAAAGCTTTCTGTGTGCACTGCAGAAAATATAAATATATATATATATAAAAATATATATGTATATCCCAATATAGTATTTATTTCCCTTATTGCATCTTAAAATCAAAACATTTCAGAAAATAAATGAGGGAAAAAGTGATTATGTATCCACGCCAGGGCTACTGGTCAGATATGACTTTTTGAAATACTGTCACATTAAAAAAAAACGTTTTCAAAGCAGAGCAACCTGCTCTTGAGACAAACTGTATCCCCTTAAGTTTATTTGTTTAATTTATAGAACGCAAAGTCCGTGAGAATGAACCCAGCACGCAGACTTTTTTACAGTCACTATCTGCGTTTCTTGTTTGTGTTCTTCCTCTTCAGAGCCAGTATCCACGCAGGGAGGGCTGTCCGCCGGGCCGGTGCCTCCTCCCCTGCCGCTACCGGATGCACTTCACACTCCTGCTCTGTCACCGAGTCCTCATCTGTAGCTGCTGAGTCATCCTCCAAGTCTGAAGTGTCCAGATCCATGTCTGGAGGTTCTATGGCCACCACTTCCTCCGCAAAACGAACCCGGCGGTTCTCCTCCACTCTCCTCTGAACCGAGAAAGAAGCACGAAACACAAAAAAGTTACAGAGAATTTAGCATCTGATTAAATATTACAGAGACTGAATGATTTCCTCAAGTTTTTTCAAATCATTCCATTAATTTTATTTGTGGATGTTGACATTTTAAAATTTCCAACCACAAGGAGGCGCTGCGATACACACTATCTTACCCTTTTATTCACTGTCTCCATTGAGGACTCCGACTCCGGGGATACGGGGTATTTGAGGACACCATGGGGCGCTCGAGCCAAAGGATTAAAAGCAGTTGGGGAGAGAGAGGCTGAATGAGAGTTTAGGGTGTATAAGGGTATTACGTTCTCGTGCTCTGACTCTCCTGTGTCAACCATCATCTGGCTGCTCGTAGGATTCAGTGAAGACATGTCCCCTTCTGTAAAACAAAAGAGACAACTTGATTTCCTGAACAGCCACCAAATTAAATCGCTCAAACAATAAAAACTCTTTAATAATAACTGATCATTAATGTTGCTGTTGGACAGAGTATTAAGCTGTTCTGACCTCTGTCTGTCTGCTCTCCATCACTTATTTTGTCGGCTTGAAGCCTGTCGTCTCTCCTGTCAGCTGACTGATGCTGTCTCTTTCTGTTGAGGGTGACTCGGCTCTTCAACGCCTTGTTAAGCGGATTTTTTGTAGACTGCAAAGGACAAGAGAGAATGGGAGAATCACAAAGTTGTCATATTGATAATATAGATATTCTTTTTTATATTAACTGGATGAACATGAGATATTTTTTGTTTATGAATATCTTACCACTACAAATGATGGAGGTCTTATTTGCTGTTCCAGTCTGCTCGCTCCAGACTGCATATGTGGGTAGTTGTGACCATCTTCCATTGCTTCTGAAGGGTCAGTCTGATGTAGTTTTCCACCTGAAATGTCCGTACTTGCAGCTGGGAAAGCATTAGGCAATGTTTGCGCCATGCTGAAATCTGTGGCCCGTGATGACTCTGTGCTCCGGAAGCTCCACTGGTTGTCCCCACTGCCAAGTTGGTTCAAAATCCCATTTGACGGAGTGCTACTGTGAGGATTTAGTTGGTTTGGGGGTTGGCCCATTGGGTCCTCTAATGGTCTCTGATTTGCTGATGAGGATGAAAGGCTGGGACTGAGGAACTTAGCCCACTCTTGGCCCTTAGTGATCTCTTCCAGCAGGCTGAATGACCCGAGGCCCAATTCAAAGTCACTGGCAGGTCTGAAACGGGACAAAATCTTCATTAAACTCAAAAATTCAGTATACAAATCCCATCACTACCAGCAGCACAAAGAGATTTTTATTTAAAATAACCCAAAATAACATTTCAGAGTTCACTCAGATGAGGTGTGATGTTATAAAAGGTCCTTGAATACAGTTAGCTCCATAACTTTGTATTTTTGAGGTTTTACCTCTGTACATCACCACGGTTGATTTTAAACAAACAATCAACACATTATTAGAAAGAAATTGGCATTAAGTTTTTAGGAAAGGGTCATTTTTATGCATAGAGGTTCAAAATTAATGAGACAACTGACTGACAAGCAGTAGAGGCCTGCTCCCTTGTTATTTTATGACAAGTGAAGAAAGCATAATATCTCAAACTGATTCAAAGTGTTAAAATTGCATTTTATTTTTCACTGTACTTTTAAATGAGGCCCAAAGAGATGTCTGTGCAAGTGAGGGAGGCTGAAAAACAAAACAAAATAAACATCTTAGAGAGAGCAAAAGCTTCAGCAGTGTCCAAATCAACAATCTGGTTCATTCTTATAAAGAATGAATACAGTGGCCTGCTTCAGCAACACCGAAATGCCTGAAGGCCCTAAGGAGACAACTGCAGTGAATGGTGACTGAATTATTTCCATGGTTAACAAAAACAACTTCACTCAACTCATCAACTAACCAAGTCAAGAACTTTCTCAAGGAGGTAGGTGTATCATTATCAAAGACTACAATCAAGAGACGCCTTCGTGAATAGAAACAGGGGGTTTACAACAAGGTGCAAACTACTGATTACACTCAAGAGCAAGAAGCCCAAATTAGACTTTGCCAGAAAACATGTGGTTTTGAAAAATTCTTTGGACCTTGCACCACAATGATGGAAAGAGAAAACTGTGGAGAAGGTCAGAAACATCTCATGATCCTCATGAGTGTACCACATCATCTGTCAAACATGGTGGTAGCAGTGTTACAGTATAGGCATGTACAGCTGGAGCTGGGTCACTGGTCTTTATTAGTGATGTGACTGCTAAAAGAAGCAGCCGGATAAATTGTGAAGTGTGCAGGGCTCTACTCTCTGCTCCGATTCAACCAAATGCTCCAAAACTGATCATGACACTGTTTCATGGTGCAAATGGAGATTACAATCATACTCCAAAAGCAACCCAAGAGTTTCTCAAGGCAAAGACATGGGTATTCTTTGATGGCCAAGTCAGTCACCTGAGCCTAACAGAGGATGCTTTTCAGTTACCAAAAACTAAACTGAAACCAGAGAGACCCACGAACAGCTGTAGGGGACTATGGTAAAGGTCAGGCAGAGCATCGCAAGGGAAGAAACACAGCATTTCAAATCAAGTCAAGTAAATGGCCTGTATTTGCTTTACTTAGTCCCTAAGGACCCCAAAGCGCTTTACACTACATTCAGTCATCCACCCATTCACACACACATACAGGTGATGGCAAGCTACATTGTAGCCACGGCTGCACTGGGGCGCACTGACAGAGGCGAGACTGCCGGACACTGGCGCCACCGGGCCCTCTGACCTTCTGACCACCACTAGTAGGCAACAGTGTCTTGCCCAAGGACACAACGACCGAGACTGTCAGAGCCAGGGTTCGAACCGGCAGCCTTCCGATTACAAGACGAATTGCCAACTCTTGAGCCACGATTGCACCAAGTGGCTTTTATTGTCATTTCGACCATGTACAGTGGTACAGTACAGAGTGAAATGCGACAGCGTTCCTCCGAGACCCTGGTGCTACAGTGCAACACTAGACAGAACAGGACAATATAGACACAACACAGTGCAATGGAAATGTGCAAAATGCTGAGTATTGTGCAAAAGTAACTTGGTGTCTATAGGGGTGTCTGCACATGTGTGTATCTGTGTTTGTGTGTGTGGTGAATATGAGATACTACATATAAGTGCTTGGTAGTCACATGTATGAAGGTGTGCGTGTGTGTGTCAGTCCAGTCACTGAGTGTTCAGGAGTCTGACGGCTTGGGGGAAGAAACTGTTCCGTTGGTCACTGTATGCAAATAATTTTAATCCAAGTATTAAAAACTGAATTTATATTTAAAATGATCTTAGTACAACCAATTACTTTTGATCTCCTGAAATTCCTAAACAGCTAATGCAACATTTTTGTAAAGCCCCAGTGTGCAGAAACAAAATAACAAAAATTGTCATTATCCAACAACTTTAATGAAAGAAATCTTTCAGCAGATTAAATTGTTAAAGTTCTGTTTGCTCCTTGTCCAGGCTGTCCTGGAGAAAGCTTTTGTCAATACACAGAAAATGTCCTATTTTATTTGTTTACCTTACTGTCTTCTTGTAAAAACCAGACATGCCTATAGTAGATAGTAAAAGAACAGGAACTTGTGTTTATCTGTTCTTCATTACTGTATAATGAATGACTGTGGGGAAGGTCTTTATCACTAGAACAAGCTGTAAAGTTGATGAAAATACAGTTAAAAGTCAAAAATGTATGCCCTACTTCACATTTTCTTTGCCAGTTCGATTCTCACCCACGGGCCTCATGTTTGACTAAATTCTATTAGCAAGTATTAGTGTTTAGTCCACTGCACCATAGAGCTCTACTGTTTCCCTAGAAATGTATCCATATACATAAAACACATCAATAACACACACTGTGGCAGTAGTTTACAGTAGTTTACATGGGCCTTCATGGACCAACTAAGCTTACAAGCTAACTCGATACAACAGAAATGCTGACCAGAGCAAATTTTATAAACCTTTATTGTTGTTGTTGCCTGTTCTTATTTGTTTTTACCCCCTGAGACACCACCAGTCAAGTATCAGATGTTTTTATATGGCTTTAAGGCTTGTTTTTATCTTTTGTCGTTGGTCAAATTTGCATTTTTACAATTTCTAAGCTATTTCATATTCTCTACGGCCTACTTTTCATGCTCTCATTTCCAGCAAGTAGGGCTCAGGCAGCATTTCCTGTACATTAAATATACTACAGACCAGTTTTGCACCACTTCTACATCGCTTGATTATGTTTTTGTAGTGTTCCTTAATCTTCCTCAAGATCCAGCTAGCTAAGTCTACCTGTTTTAGGAAATTACAAATCCTTCAAAATGAAAGCTACATATATGGGAGTTATTTTAATGATTTATGTCTCTAGTAGGAAAAACATAAAGCAAACAAACTTGGCTTCGGTAAGCGAGTATCTTTCCATCTTGTGTGTTAAGTCCTAATGAGAGAATCATTCTTTATGAGTTACTTGCTGTGTACATCTGTTTCCTTTAATAGCAGGTTATAAAAAAATCTCATTGTACACAGCATGAAAGTTTGTAATGACACATGCTGTCAGTGACAGGGTGTGTTTGGCACTTCAGACCACAGACACACATCAAGGGTAAAGATGTCTGATGGCTGGAAACATCTCAAATGCTTCACATATCTTACTGCTGACGTTTCAGAGCAAATAAAGCCAAAAAAAAAAACTGTTCGGCTTTCAGTTTGTGCCATGCTGCTAGAGTGCAGGTTTGGATGTATTTGTGCAATTTAGGATCATTTGTGTGCCTGTTACCTGATGTGGCTGTCGTTAGTGGCGTCGTCTGTGCGTGCAGGAAGCATTTTATTGGCTCCACTGGTGTCCAGTGAACGGAGGGTCCTTTCGTCCTTATTTGACGCATTGATGAGGCTTTCTGTAACCTGGTTTGGGTGTGAAATCTGCGTGAAAAAACAAGTTGCAGTGTCACTTCAAGATTTCTTTTTTTATCATTATATAACAAAACCACACTACTCACCTCAGGTTCCTCCCCACTCTTCTGGTCTCCTATGCTTCCTTCTTCTTCTTTTCCCTTTTTTCCTTGTCTGTCCTTCCATCGCTCCTTGAGCCTCTGCGTCCACCTTCTGGTTTTATTCTCAGATGATCTCTGTTTCCTCCTCACGCTACTGTTTGTTGTTATTTGACTGTCTGAGGCAACCTGCGTATCTTTGTTTTCTGCCATCGCTCCAAATCCTCCATTTCCTACAATTAACGCTTTATTGTCTTGACCTCCTGCGAAAGGGTCTGTGTTTTTCACGGCCCACAGGTAGACTTTAGGTTTAGACTTTAGGTGCTCCTGGTTCTCATTCACTCCCATGCTTTGGGCAGCATCTGTGTTAGGAGGCATGCTTCTTTTCATTGCAGAATTGCCAAAACTCCACTTCTCACTATTAGTCCTCTCAAAGGAAGCATCTTTAAGTGATGTGGTAGGAAACAGCTGCCCTGTTACTGTTGGGGCGATCGCAGGTTGTGTCGCCTGTCCCATAACCCTGCTATCACCAGTGTCACCAACACTGTTGTCTTTCTGGGAGGGGAAGGAATTAAAACCCCTGTCCACCCCACCTCCATGACCGGGCTGCTGTAGATGACTAAATTTGAAGCTAAAGTTGCTGTCTGCAGCAGGGCTCCTGGCCTTATTTGAAGGGATGCCATTAGTACCTGGGCTGCTGTTTTCTGGTCCAAGAGTGTGCCGGTGCCCCTGGCCCTCTCTTTCCGACTGCAGCTTCAGTTTCTGCAGCATGGACTGCAGCAGGGCCTGGGAGTCTGCTGGATTAGGTGACTGAGACATCTAGTAACAGAACCTCGAAGTCTTCTAAATCCAGAAGTCGCAGAAACGCGTGTCAACACCACAGTGAAACTGGATACACAAGGACGGACTCTATGCAAACAATATAATTCGTCGCTTTACAACCAGCATGACAAGAGGAAAAATACCTTTGTGTAGAAGATATCACTCTTTGGTCCAGTTTTTGCTAGAAAGACACCTGTTATGGCTGCTTTCGCCTTTCTGAATAATCCAATCCCTTTCCATGACAATGTAGTTGCTTCATAGCAAATATGAAGAAAGATCCACCTCTTCCAGTTAAACGTCCAGAGGTACAAATCCTTCTTCTTCTTCTCTGTGTAAACTGCTGCTTCTTATGCTGCCTCCACTAATGCTCAATCCTCAAGAAGAGCAGCAGAAGTCTTCTTCTGTTGTTCTGCAACAAAGAGATATAAGCTTTTGTTGTTTTTTCCCTATTTTCAAAAGTCTCTCGCTTTTACTAAATGCCCATAGTTCCATTACACTACTGGTGTTGTAGTCACACCTCTTCTCCAGCAGCCACTTATATCACTGGTAATGGGAGGAGAGACTATGAATGGCTGCGTTCCTCAGATATTACAAACTGAAGCAGACCAACAAGAAAGACCAGTAAGGTGAGATAATTGTTTGCTGACTCTAACTCTCTCCCACTGTGTGTATTTCTGCCCATCTTTGTATTTTGCCCTCCCTTCCTTCCCATTTCTCTACTTGTAACGCTTGCTCACTCAAGTGCACACACACCCTCTGTGACCTGTAACTGATAATTATAGGGCGTTCTTAAGAGCAGCCGCTATGAATGCGCCTGCCAAATTAAAGATATAGGAAAATGTCTGCACTGAGCTTTGCAATAACCCATTTTATATCAACTCTGTGAAAAATGCTGTCACAGAGGCCTTTGCTACTGTTGTTGAAATAAAGTAATAGATTCTCCAAACATGCAGTGTACTTCAGCTTGGAGAACACCATGCATTCTTTCTTATAGGTTTGTTAACCACCAGCTATACTGTTCTCCACTGCAAGTCATTAAAAAATGCTACTGCCCTGATAAACTTTTAACTGTTTTAATTATATTTCAGCCAACTACTATGCATTTAAAAGCACAGTAATTGTACTGCCTTCTTTCTGACTGAAGGTTTAGAGTATAAGATTAAGTAGGTACAATACAGTACTTGAAAAGCTACTTTCCTATTCTGACATGAACTTATTTAATAATTATCAAGTTGCTAATCATTAAGTAAAGTTTATATAACAATTAGTAACAATGTACATCTTTATCCATTACAATTATACCTTATTTTTTGGTTTTTCGTTACGCTATCTTTATATATTTCTAATCCGGACGATCATAAAAAACCAGCCCCGAAGATGCAGTGAAGAAAAACACAAGTGGCAGAAATGTTCACTTAGAAACTAAGTGCGCATGTGCAGCGTCAAACGCACGCCCCCTTTAAGTTGCCGTGTATCTGATTGGTCCGCACTTTGTAAGCGGGCAATGGCGGCGTAAACAACGCTGATATCGATGAAAGAGACACTGCTTAACCGAGTAAAATAAACTTAGACTGGAAATAAACGGAGTATGCTTTCGGTAGGAAGATTTGCTCTCGGCGTGGAAACGATTAAAACGCCGTCTTGTGTACTTCTCGGTGATGCTTAGCCGCTCGTTTTGGCTAACTTTTAGCCAAATGTGCTAATTTAGCGGAAAAGTGAGTTTGCAGAGATGCACTGTATCGTAACGGGAGGAAACGTGAAAGGTAGCAAACATTTCCTGCATATTAAACACAGTCTCTAACTAGAATATGTGTCATTGATTAGATGTTGCTAATAATTATCTTGTGGGTGTGTCTGTACCGTCCAGTACTGGCCAAAGCCGTCCATTCTCTGTCCAGGATCGGCGATGAGCTGTATGTTGAGCCTCAGGAAGATGGGGTGAGCTGTTCTGACACTGACTTGCACACCATCACTTCCTCTTACAATGCAGATAGGCTTGTTGCTTCCTGTGGGTGCACACTTTGCGTCAATGAAAAAAGTTGATTTGTTGGTCTCTCTCTCTCTCTCGTGTCGTAGCTGGCCCTGCGGTCTGTGAACTCCTCTCGGTCGGCTTATGCTTGCTTCCTGTTCGCACCACTCTTCTTCAGCAGGTGCAGACTACATGCCTGTGTTTATAAATGGCATCTTTGTGTGAGAGAAAAAGAAAGCGTGTATATGAGTGAACTTCTGCCTTTTATACCTCTGTTTTTCTGTGCAGGTACTCCATTACTAGTGGGGATAACTTCCGCTGCAAGATGGCAATAAAGGTGTGAGAGAATTAGATAATCTACTGTTTTTCAAGGCTTTATATAGTCTGGGTGTGACATTAATTACATTTTAGTAGATAATGTGGTTCCCAAACTTTCATGATGACATAACACCCAAAGTTATTATAGAATTCGTTTCTTATCTACAACAGTTATGATATATCAGAGGTGTGCAACGTATTGAAGGCATTTAGGTTCCAGTTACAATCTTGTGAAAAAGAGTTCTCACAGGTCTTTGTTACTCACAGTTAGACCTGTGAAATTAAGTACACCCCATGATTCAGTAGCTCGTAGAACCACCTATAGGAGCAATCACTTGAAGTTTATGAGTCGCTCATATTGTTTCAAAGTAATCGTTTTCTGTTTGACTTCACCAGTGTCTCAGATCATTGTCTGAGAGTTTTGGCCTACTGTTCTTTACAGTGTTGCTTCAGGACATCGCGGTTTGCGGGCATTCATTTATGCACTGTTCTCTTAAGGTCCCACCTCAGCAGTTCAGTTGGGGACAGGTCTAGAGCTTAATTATTCTCTTTTTCAGCCATTCCGTTGTAGATTTGCTTTGGTACTTGGGATTCTTGTCCTCCTGCACGATGCTGTTTGGGCCAAGTTTTGGCTGTCAGGCCGATGTCCTCACATTTCAGTCTGGAATACTTTGGTAAACAGAGGAGTTCATGGTCAACTCAATGAGTGGAAGGTGTCAGTGTCCTATGGCTGCAAAACAAGCTCAAATCATCACCTTCTCACCATCATACCTGACAGTTGGTATGAGGTGTTTGTGCTGATATGCTGTGTTTGGTTTTCACCAAACAGAGGTGGTTTCTTCAGTTGCAGGCCTAAGATGTGCTGCCATATTCTTTTACAGCCAGTAGAGGCTTTCTGCTGGCAACCCTTCCAAACAAGCCAAACTTGTTCAGTCTTTTTCTAATTGTACTGTTGTGAACTTTGACATTTAACTGCTAACTAAGGCCTGTAGAGTCTGAAATGTAGCTCTTGGATTTTTATTTTTTATTTTTGCAGTTTCTCTGTTCACTGCACAGTCTGTCACTGGTGTGAGTTTGCAGGGACGTCCACACCTGGAAGGATTGACAGCTGTTTTGAATGTTTTCCACTTGTAATTGTCCTCACCGTGGTCAAATTATTTGGAAATCGGTTTATAACGATTGTCAGATTGCTTTGCATCAACAATGGCTTCTTTAAGATCACTGCTGACATGTTCCATCCTTGGGATTGTGTTAACACACACCTGAATGCTCTAGACATGCAAACTACTCACATTTTGAATTGGATTACAAGCCCCTAGCAGTAAGACTGTATTTAGTTTATCTCAGGATTGCATAGAATCAGTCACTTGACTGTCACGGATCTCAATAAACATGCTTACCAAAGGCCCCTCAGGCAGGTTGTGATAAGTATCACTTCAGTTACTTTTCTTTTGTTTTCTAGTCTAGTTTGAATTCTTTTTAAGCTCACAGTTCATTTTAAATAACTACTCTGACCTTGCATTAAACCCGAAAGTCCCATCACAAAAAGTTCAACCACTCGATCACAAAAGATGTATTGAAACTAAAGCTGCCAGTCTGATTTTTGTCTAATAGTTTGGTCAGGTTTGCATTCATGTGACCACTACCAAAATGTGAAAAATGTAAATTTTAACTTTCTCTCTATAT